TTATTCCTAGCAGGGAACTTAAAGATAAAGGCTTTAGTGTTCTCACAGTAGATTTATTTCAAGGATATACCTGTCTGCACCTACTGTATTGGAAGTGGCTACAATAGAAGAAAAATATTTGATTAGAGCTTGTCTCTGTAGAACAGACTTGCATGAAAGTGTGAGCTCTTGGGTCTCAGTTTCCAAGATACAGCTCCACTCACATGGGTTTACTCTTAACTTGTGCCAGCATATGTGGTTAAACCTCTTTGCTGGGGAGTTCATCAGGGCCAGCACACAGGTTTGGTGCTGTGGCACTGTGTCTGTGCTGTTCAATTCTTCACTTTCCCCTTTTTGCAAATCTAGCTCATGCCTGGGGCTATAGAACCTAAATGCAATGAAAAATCTTCTCATTTTAAGGGTAGTGTGAATAAATATTTAAGTATTAGTCATGCTATTGCATAGCTATGGGTTTTGGTTTTTTTTTCTTTTGCTAAAGCAAATATATTTTGTAACCATTCCTTGTAAAGCTGCTGCAAGAATTGTATTTAATAGACTTCAAGATTAGTTTACTTTTTTATTGGAGCAAGATATTTTTATTAACATTGTGTCCATTATATTCAGTACTTCATACTAATGTCCATTCTAATAACATGGCGAGATTTGTTGTCAGAGTTGATTGCTCCATTTGAAAAACTGAAGGTGTTTTAGAGGGGGTTCTTCATTCAGGGAGAGTTTCAAAATGCTTTGGGTACCTACAGAATTCGCTTAAAGCTAACTTTGTTGCATTGGCATCACTCTTGTTCACTTTCTTGGCATCAAGATCTTGCTGCAAGGAATTTTCTTGCTGCAGTGTCTTAGTGGAAACCAGTTAAGCAGAGGATCAACACACAGCAGTTGCATACCCTGATTGTGCTTTTGGTTTCCAAGAGGTCGATGAAATCCTATATTGGTGAAACTCCTTGATATAATAGCCATTCTCTTTGAATTTCATCTGTAGGCTTTCTATGTTGTGTCTTTATGTTGCACCAGTAGATTCCGTAGATTTGTGCCTGGAAAGTAGACTTATTCTGTGACAGGTGACTGAGAAACTATTTTGATTTGGAATGCCAGCAGATTTTTTTAAACAAGCCAATAARTCGTGGATTAGCATATCACAAGGGGTATTTATTCAAGATTTTAAAGAAAGCCAAAGATTAATTTGCTGAGTAACTCTGGGCTTCTGCTTATGCTGGCCTTTTTCCAGAGAAATAAGGGGTTACAAATAAACAATTTTTGGAAAGGTGACGGGGAGGTGCAAGGAATGGAGGTCCTCATGGGYTGTTTATGGACCTGTGCTCTCACATATTTTCACCAGTGGTCTGCAAAAAGGGATGAGGAGAAGTAGGTGCAATATGTGGTGACAATACAGAATTCTAAAACTTGCTGGAAAATTAGGTCTGAACAAGAAACGCTGCAGAAGTTTCTTGGTGGTGTGTATAATGTTGATAAAAGAGCAGACAAAATTGCAGGTCACTAAATAAAAAATAAGGAATTAATTGGAGGGGGAAATGGTCCCAGGAATGCACAAATAGCAGTGTGCTCTAAATTAGGTCTTTTTGCAACAGAGGATGGATCTATAAGAGATGAAACTGTGAACTGTGGCAAGAAGGAAAATAGAATATTAACAATCTCTAAAAAGCAACATAAAAGAAGACAAAGCATCATTTTGCAGATGTRTAAATCCATACTGTGCCCTCAAGTGTGGTATGCAATTTTAATTCTCATCCTTTGCATCTCAAAAAGGTTTTATTGAAATTTGCAGAGTGAAGAGAAAGTTGAGCATTAAAATACAGAATATTTTTATTTATTTATTTTTAGTTTAAATTCATGTAAGGACAAGGAGACTGGACTAGAATTATGCAGATTAAGATTCTTCTAGCTTGGAAAGAGACAAATGGAGAGGCAGAATTTATTTAAGTACAGAAAATGATGAGTTGGGTAATTGGCTACATAGGAAAGCTGAACAGACAAGAACAGTCTAAGTAAACTGTCATGACACTGTCAGGTAATTTTATTATAAAAAAAGGAAACACATTTTTTTATAGATAAAATTAATTATAAAAAGTCACAATCCATTTCACCAACGTTTCTAGGTTCAAAAATGATGAACACTTTCAATAGTTATACCCTGATGACTATTAAAGGTGATGACACAACCTCAGAGTCATAAAATCTCAAACCACAGATTGCTGGAAGTTGGAAAATATGGGTGTTTTTTTTTTTTTTAGAATCTTTGCCCAATCAATTGCTACAGTTGAAGGTATGAAGTAGAAAATGTACTCTCTACTGCAGGTGTTATTACAGGTAATAATATCCTTGTGAGTGCGCAATTCAGCTGGGCACCTGCTGTGTAATGGTGTAACTAATGATCTCTGAACTGTTTCAGGCATTTGTAGAGAATCTGCTCTATTTGATTTCAGTGCCAGCAGCAGTTAAATTACATCTCCCTTCACTGTCTAGGTGTTCTAAARGTGCAGTCTCCAAATCTACCTCTTTCTTCTGAGATAAAACTTTCTGATAATGTAGAAWAAGTTAACAGTAATGTAATGCAAAATGGCAATTACCCATTCATTCACTGACCAATTCAGCCAATTTAGACTGGCTGAAGCTGTTGGATTTCCTCATGGTGTTCAGTCACTCATACACCCCATGCTTGGTTTAGAAGTGCCTCCCACTCTCCAGAAGCAGCAAATCCACTTGTTTTGGTTATTTTCTCTTGAAACTCTTTACCTTTTYTGTGGGACTCTTGGGATGGATAAAATGCTCTTTGTTTTCCTCAGTTTATTGTTTAGACAAGATGTCACTGTGATTTTTGAATTTGTTCTCCCAGCCTTGTACCAACTGTTTGAAGACTCTTGGGTTTAGTCCTTCAGAGCTGGAGAAGGTGGGTCACATCTGACTCCACACTGTTAGTAATTCCCTGTGCCTGTGCCTTTACTCTCAGCTTTTTGTGTTAAGGACAGTGACAGTGATTACCTGTTTAAACATGTGTGTCATACTGACTGCATCAAATGGCAGCTGCTGAAATGAGAGTGCCACTACAGCAGAGTTTTATGGTGGAAAAAGAGTGTTACAGTACAGAAGGTCTGATGAGAGCCTTCCTGYTCCTTCACCAATAAGATTTATAGCAATAAAGTGTTTCTTAACAGAATTGATAAGCTGAAATGTCATTAATATCTCCTCTGGGCTCAGGTGCATCAATTGGCTTGATGCCAATTGATTCAAGCATATCAAGCTACAATATCACTTGAACGTCCATAGATGACCATAAATGTGCTCTTAGCCCATGGCAAATGTAATAAGACTGAGCTTAATACTTGCTGAGGGATTTACTTTATCTCATCACTGTATGCACAACAGCTGTTGTGACTCATGTGGAGTTTGACTTGACCATGTATTTAACTCATCCTCATGAAATGCTTTTCATGGTAAATAGGTTGCCCTAAAAATGCAATTAGCCTGAGGTAGGAGTGCATGTGTAGCATGSCTTCAAAGGTGTCCCCTCACAGGGTGAGAGCCAGCCCTCCATTCATTCTCCCTTGCCAGGCCTTAAATGCTTCCAAAGTCTGAAGGTGTTTCTGTTCAGCCCAACCAGCATCTTTTTCTTTTTTGTGTTTCCTTTACAGTCTTTCTAATTTCTCTTGTGCCCAACAACACCTTTTATTTTTTTTTTTATTTTTTTTATTTCTCTTGCTCCCAAAAAAATCCTTGGGAATCCAGGACTGGACAGCAATTTACAAAAGAAATCTAAATCCTTTGAGGATAAAGACATTTTAATGCAACATGAAGATCAATAAGACTCTGTCCTTACAAGTATAGKGAATTGGCAATTGTTCTTAATATGAATATTCTATTCCAGCTTGCTCGATTATGTAACTAGGTAGTCTACTTTTCTTAGTTCATCCTTCCCACAGGAAGAAATGTATTCATGGTATTTCTTCATATGCTGGTAGTTTTGCTTTAAATACGTCAAAGTATATGCCTTCTGTATTTGTTTCTTCTTTTTTTTTTTCCCCACAAGTCGTTATTTCTTTCTGGATTGAAGTTTGTTCATTCTGAATTAGTGGATTGSCTGTTACTAGACAGTAACTGTAAAGGCCATCATGCTTTGCAGAAAAAAAGGAGTTACCACTCTTTCAATGAATAATCTGACAAGTTTAGGGAGTATTAGTTGGTTTGAGAAGATTGCAACTGAAAAACTTCTTTAATTTGAAAATGGAAATCTTAATTCATTTTCATGAGAAAGTAATTTGTCCACACACTATTGTAAATTTCTAGAATTTGCTCAMAATGGGACCACTAATTCCAACAAGYAAGGCTGTCTGTGTATCTTCTTCCTTTTTTKYTYYTTTTTTTYYYYCCWCTTCTYTATCTCATTTTTAAATATCCTCWGAATTATGGAAGAGGTCACTGAAAATATGATTAWAAGCATTTGTGAAATCAGACCAGAAATAGAAGGCTGGGATCATAACTGTTTTGGATACTTCCTGAGGTCTGGAGAACATCATGGTAAAGCTGCTCTGTTTTAGGCAGGATTTTTATATAGGTTAGTTGCTGCAATGGGTTGCACAAGACTTCCAGAAGCAGTCAGGCAGTGTAGGTGAGTTTTTAATGCTGCCCTTCCCTTTTTATAACTCTGTCTTGCGAGACAGAGCATTGTGGTTTCCATTTAATCACCTTTGAAATAATTGTCCAATTGCACAATAATATATTGCCAATCTTTCATAAGTTTCACATGTTTCAAAATAGACAAGGGAGTGGTGTTGAAGACACCTGCAATTGAGGACATGAGGCAAAATGCAGGATATTTGTAGTGGTCAGTAGCAACTGGAGTGTTAAAAGCCCTCCTCTTCTGCTGACTGTGTGAGATTTCAATGTCTCTCCTAACTTGGGAAAGAGATTTTCCTCGAGGTCTAAGGTCTAAACTTCAATGAGATGAAATTWATTAATCACAAGTTTCTGTTCCATTTTTTCAGAAGAATGGCGTATCAAACGGAACTCTCAACAAAAAAGCATTTATTGAGCACTTTGAACAGGCGCCAATGTAYGTCGCGGTTTTTACTTTCGTGGGGTTTGCAGTGGGAACAATATTTGGCTACCTGCGAGATTTTATGAGAGCCTGGGGACTAGAAAAACGTAACATTGCTGCGGAGAGAGAACAACAAAAAGTATGTATGAAAAAGACATTGTGTATCCACAGCTGAGCTATCTCCTKCTTGCAAGTGATTTACAGCAACCTGTGGAAGTGACAAGTGTGGAAGTGACAACTTTCAKTTTAGAGAACATTGCAGAGGGACAAGAGGAGTGGCACACCCTGCACTGGAGCTACACATGTGTGTGCTTRTGTACCTACATTTATGTAAAATCATGGGTTTTGCCCAGGGACATGTTCACCTTCTTCTGAGAGCGTCCTAAYACTCTCAGCAAAACAGAATCTCACCACATTAGGTCAATCCACCAAAAAAAGGGAACTCAGAAATGCTTTATTGTTAAATATATTATCTTTTCAAATCTGTTAAATCCTGATTTTCCTTAGTCCCATCTGGCTGTCTTACCTTACCTCACAGCAAGGCAGTACTAACTTTTTGATAATTGCTGGCTTGTGTTTGCTGAACTGCTGGTCACAGAGCACTAAGGAGTCATGTCCCAGCAACAAGCGAGTGTAGGCTGAATTCTTGTAACTCCCAACATTTTTTCATCCCACGTAGTTCTAAGTGAAACTTCCACCTTAGCAAGATTAACTGCCATCTAATTTTGTTTAGAATTTTTGGCTACTCCTTCTCTGTACAGTTTGAGTCATCGTTTACAGTAATACCTGGCATGATGAAGGAAAAACATGAACAGTGTTACTGTTTCTCTTGCGAATAAAATTCCTGAAATTATTTCCTGTTTTAGCTTTCTAAAGATGCATGTGTATCATTTTCAGTTCACTTAATGATCTGGCCATTTGTTGATTCCAGTTGTGCCAGTTAAATTTTTTTGTCCTTCACTACGGATTATATGTTCCTTTAATTCTCCCATGTATGTTAACTGCATGCCATATTATTTTATCAGTTTATTGTATCCAGTGTCCTACATGGATATATTGCTGTTCCATATAAAACTTTATTTAAATTTGATTTCCCAGGAAAATCCATAGGTAGACATAAATTAACTGGATGTTTGCATGCCCAGGTTAGGCCAGTAGTGCCCAAATCACAGATATTGAACTAGTTTTGCCTAATGTATCCAGCATTTCATGAAATGTAATGAGTTGTTTATCCTACTTTTGCAATCTGCTCCACATATAAAAAACACTCAATTTGAAGCAACTGGTCTCCTCAAAGAATCTTGATTTTTTTTTTTTTTTCATCTCCAGCTTTTAAGATATATGGAGAGAGTTAGACCAACTTATTGATCATTTTTAAAAAACCAAAAAATACCAACCCACCAAAAAAAAGGAAAAAAACAACCAATCTTAAACAAGAAACAAAATACCTTCTAAGAAATCCAATGCTGTGTTTCAAGAAAATTATAGCAAGATATTTGCTGTTTGGAGTTGTATGTATCACAGGAACGTGTGGCTGCTATAGCTCTCTGTATACCGATTAATCCATTTTTTCTGTTAATAGAATTAACTTGGGGGCAGAAGCAGATATTTTCCTAGCACCATAACCCTGTGCATGTTTTCAAACCAGGATTTTGTGCCACTTTATCAAGATTTTGAGAACTTTTACACCAGAAACCTCTATTTGAGGATACGGGATAACTGGAATCGTCCAATTTGCAGTGTCCCAGGGCCACAGTTTGACCTGATGGAGCGCGTTACAGATGATTACAACTGGACATTTAGGTGAGTCACCTTACACTCTGCCACTCTCAGCTTCAGAAGCATACTCCTGATACCTCTGAAGAGCGTGGAAAGTTGTGTCTAGATCCTTGTCTAATATCCATCAGCATGTTTGTTTCTACAATCAGTACCATGCTGACAATCTGACCCTTTTCTTCTGAGTATTGTTTGGAAATGCAGCATGGATTTCCAGCTGAATTGCCAATGGGTTTGTTTGGCTGTGTCAGCACAAGACTGATCACACTCCATTAACAACAACAGACCTTGACTCAGAATATTACAACAAAACTTGTTTTATCGCTTGATTAGTTTTTAAATCATAATTTCTTGCATTGTGTGAATGTAGCTTCTTGCCTTCATAGTGAGTCTTTGGCAGCGGGTTTTAAGCAGATTACAGCTTGAAGATTTCTTTGTATTACAGCTGAATTGAGCAGCTATGGGAATTCACAGCACAGACAATGTGTAGGCTGGCTGTATTTCAGCTTATTGAGAGTGTATCACACTGTTCCCCATATTTTCATCATGTTTAAGTTCAATGTGTGTGTGAGAACACTGATGACTTAATGGAAGCAGTTGACAATTTGCTTGAAAAATCAATGTCTCTACATTGTTMCTTAAATAAAGTCATAGGTTTGCTTGTTTATTTAAATCCATAAAAGCAGCTGCTCACCTTATACCAGTATATTGCCATCTGCAGCTTGGCTTCTAGAAAGCACTTTGACCAAGAAGCAGTACTTGGTTAGAACAAGAGACAGGCTGGAAAAACTTTGGGGCTGTTAGAGTACAAGGATTGTACATTCCCAAGGAGGAATTTGACACTGGAACAAAATTTGGTGGGAAAATTTGGGGGTTTTTTTCTTTTAATTTGGGATTGGAGGGAAAATTGCACTATTGTTCAAAATTTGCTTTAATTGTAGGTTTACAGGAAGGACTATCAAGAATGTAATCAATATGGGTTCTTATAACTACCTCGGCTTTGCAGAAACAGATGTTAATGCTTTGAAAACTGTGACCATAGAGTTAGAAAAATACGGGACAGGAGTCTGCAGTACCAGGCAAGAAATGGGTGAGTAAACAGCGAGATGGCCACCAAAGGTTCTGTAACTGTACACTTTTTCTCACAGATATCTTGAAGGAATTTGATCCTTAGAGAACTTTAATCATATCAGCAATTACTTGTTTCACAATTAAAAGGAGTGCTGTGTTTTATTTTTTCTCACATGAGGGATTTTTTCAAAAGGAAAAATAATACTGATTTTTGGAAAAGGAAAAGCAAATGTGTCATATACTGTCTGAGATTTTCAATGATGGAAGTAATAGGCTTCTTTTTCAAGAGAACTAAAAAACACATTGACATTTAAACAATTGTTCTAGGGCAAATTCAGTTGCATCACAGACTTATATCAGTTACCACACACAGAGGTTTCAGATTAGTAAAATGAGCTTTTACCTAATTTTTTTTTAATCCCATGTTCTAAGAATGTATTGGAATGTTTTATGAGATACTATTGCACAAACCAGAAATTTCTAGTGTGCCTTTAGGGAATAAATTCAGGAAGGTTCCATCTGTCTTTTGTTTATATATCCTTTATGATTTGTCTGCTTTGTTTGTTTGTAGKCTGCATGGAGTGTTACTTTCAGCTTTATATTTTTACACAAAGCCCTTGCACTCCTAATGGTACAATCATCTTACATTTCAGGAAAAAAAAATAAAAAATAGTTTCAAGCCATAGCAATGCAAGGGAAGGTTTCTCTTCATGCCTTATCTTCCTTGGGAATTTAAAAAATAAATTAAAAAAATAAAAAAGGGGTAGGCTTTCCAGAATGGAGAAGTCTGTTACAGACTTCTTTTTTCTAATCCAGTGATCTGAAAAAAWTATTTTTTGTATCTTCAAGGTAATCTCTGTTCCTCCATAAATCTTGCTGAAAAAACCCGTATTTAATTTAGGTTTCAACTATTTGAAGTTTTCATTTCAGAAAAAAATAATGCAAACTTTGTCACTTGCTTCTCATCTTATGAATGGGGTTTGATTTGCCAATTAACTATGTCAGTGACACCCTCTCAAAGAGGGTTTACAGATTGGCCCTGCTTTCCTTTTGTAGGTGACCCATCTGGTGACTGCAATATATTATATTATAATATATAATATTATTATATTATATATATAAAATATAACCTGAATTGCATGCTTGAAAGTGGTCACCATTACTAGTCCTTTAAGGTAYTGAATGAAGCTTTCTCTCTTTTTCTCTTGGATCCTGTTTTCTCTAAGAGTATTTCAAGTTCTTTTCAGTACATCTAACATTATGTTGGTGTTCTTTATTCTGTAGCTTTTGCTGAATTTTTTTAATGGAAGACTAGTATAACTGACTTATTCTTAAAAAAAAAAAAACAAAAACAACCCAACTTGCTGAAAGATTGATTCTGTGTTCAAGTATTAAAAATCTTATTAGGTAACTTCATCTAGTCTATTTTGAGAGCTGCTATGTAGAAATTCCTAAGATTTTCAGTTCATCTGAACTCCTGTGCTGTACTCAAAGTTATCTTGACCAACTGAGTAAAGTTTCAGATTCATTTGAATTCCGTTCACAACAAACAATCCCATGAACTGCATCCAACTATTCACAGTGCAAGAATGGGCCACAGATAAAGAACATCCTATAAGTCTTGTGAGTATCAGCCTTTTGGAAGTGAGTTTCAGAGAGCAGCTTGGACATCGACCAAAAAGGAAAGCAGGGTGTTTAGGCCTGATTAAGCTGGTCAGGGGAGCAGTCACAGCATTTTGTCCTGGGCAGGTAACAGCGAGTTGTGCTTAGGTGCTCCATGGAGAGAGGTGTTTGCATGGGGCTGTGCTGAGCAGTAGGGCTTTCATTGGTGATGGCTCTTCGGAGTTTGTCTGTCACCAAGATCTGTGCAAACAACCCAAGAAAAATAAATTCATAGTGGGTTCCTTGTTCCTTTGCATTCTTGTGCTCTGTTCTCATCACAGGTGAATAGAAAAATTCTGAGTTAAATATGTGAAAGAGAGATAGAGAAGGGTCTGAATGAAAGGTCTTACTTTTTTTTTAATTATCATTTCTCATCTTCATCCTGGATAAGTGGAAAGGAATGGGTTTGGTTTGGGGCAGATCACATTTCAAAACTTCTGTTGTTGTGTGTGGAGCTGAAGTGTTTTGAAGTAAAAGTGCARTGAGATGTAAGAGCCAAGGCTGTAAATTGCCTGTGGAGTTCTAATCCAAGAGAGCACTTGAACATATTTATCTTTTCAAGCTAATTGACTTTGAAAGTACTGTTCTGCTTGTGTGCATTTAAGTGTCTGGCACACTCAAGTTTTACCAAGATCTCTCTCTAAGCAGTGCTAGATCTCTTTTTGAGAAAGATCATTCCACTACTTGCAGAAGATTTCAGAGAGAGAGGAAAACAAAGAAGACACAAATAAAAGTARTGTGAATGATGTTTGAAAAAAATACATGATGGTAAAACTGTCCTTTGTGGTCTTCTGCCTATATTCCTCCTCTTATAACTGTGAAAATTGTGGAGAGGGCATACAATACTGTCGTATCAGAATGTTGTTGCAGGTAGTTTCCTCTTATAATAGGTTTATGTGAACATTTTAACATGGTTAAAGCTCATAAAAACAGTGAAAAAAAAATTCCTTTAAGACCAAYCTAGCTATTATCCCTTAGGAGCAAGATCTTGGAGTTATAACTGGTACATCTATGGAAGAATCAACTTATTGTTCTGTGGTCAGAAAGCAAATCAAACACTGGAAATTACTAGAAAGTACACAGAAAGCCAACCACAGAGCCTCAGTATGCTACTTCATCAAACTGCTGTCTGCTGTTGTCTTGAGTACTGTGTGGAGTTCTGATTAAAAATATTTAGCAAAACTGGAAAGCGAAAGAGAGGAGCTACAGGGATCATCAAAGGCCTCAGACAGCTTCTGGGTGAAGAGTTACTGAGCTTGAAACTGGTAGGAAGTTTTCACCTAAATACTGGARGCTGCCAGAGCCAAGATCTGCATCATTGCAGCAAGTGCCAGAACTTCACACTCCCTTGTGTTCCAACACTGGCCACATGCAGAGGGAGATCATTGGTACAAATACCCAAACTGTACCTTATTATTGCCAAGGTAGGATACAGAGAGATCTACACCCACTGTATCTGACAAAACTGATCACAGGCGTTATTTAAATTCAAATAGTTTTTGTCAGCAGCAGTCTTTCCTGGAGGTGCAGGAAAAGGTAATTTTGGGGTTTTTTTTTTGGCTTGTTCATTATATGTCAAGAGATCAACTGGGACATTAAAAAAAAAAAAAAAACTAGGAAGTTTTGGGTTTTAGCAATAAATAATGGGTCTGAGGAATTAATTCCTGAATGTTGAAGGGTTTAAGTAGCCATCCAGTACCTCAAGGTGGCTGCAAGAGAGCTGGAGAGGGATTTTTCACAAGGGTGTGGAGGGACAGGATAAGAGGGAATGGCTTCAACCTGACAGAGAGCAGGGTCAGATTTGGTGTCAGGAAAAGATAAAACTGTTCCAGTTTGCCCTGAGAAGCAGTGGATGCCCATCACWGGAAGTGTTCAAGGACAGGCTGGATGGGGCTTGGAGCAACCTGKTCTAGTGAAAGGTGTCTGTGTCCCTGTCCAAGGTGGGAGAGTTGGAACRAGATCATCTTTAAGGTCCCTTCCAGCWCAAACYATTCTGTGATTCATTCTATGATTCCGTAAGTAACTAGAAACCAACTGTTCAACTAACTGGAGTGTTTGGAATGTTAGGGCATTTCATGTAAACTGCCCCCCAAAARTATACTGTTTTATGTATTTTTTCTRTCAAAAGCGTTATCTTTTASCTTAATAAAACTGTCAACAAATAGGAACCTAAATAAATTTGAAATAGCAGGTATTCCCTCTACATAGTGAAAAATATGAAAGAGAGACAACTTGAATGTAAGGTCTTTTTTTCCATGCAAATCAGTATATTTTAATGGCTGGAGTGGGAGTTGGCTACTGTTGGAGGCAGCCAAAGCCTTTTGTCTGAGCCCATCGTGTTGTTCAGTGTTTATAATCAGCCTTTTCTATGCAATGTGACAGAGGACTATTGAGAAACATGCAAATTAGTTTCCTGCTGGCTGCCTGCAGATGATAATAAAATCAGCAAAGCTGAAGGTTTTTATTTTTTTTTAAGACAAGGCAGATTATCGTGCTCTGAGCGCTCCTGGGCTTAGGGCCAGTCTGGTGATGGGACTGTCGCATGGACAGCCAGCATTCCCAGTGCTCTGTTTATCTAAGTCACCATTATTCCTCATGGAGATGATATACGTGAGTAACCCCAGCAAACCTATCATTAGTGCTACTCAGGCAGCCAGGCAGGATTCCTGCCTTTTGAAATCCTTCTCCTGTGATTATGCCTTGGACCAAAAGACAAGATGGAGCCTGCACAGAACACTTGCAGGGTGATTCACTCTGGAGAGCATATTAGGAGGTTACCCTTTTAACACCTAACTTGCACTCCTTTTTAGGGCTTTTTCTTTGAGGATATTTTACACTTGGCTTTGATCTCATTTCTAAAAAGCAGACCTGAAAATCTGTGCCAGCATTTTAACTGCAAAGTAGCTCCGTCCCATTCACCTCCTGCAATTGGGTTTTAAGGCCTAATATGAATTTCTAGCAGCATTTCAAGAAGRTGAAAATAGTTATTTGGCCATTCTTTCTTTGATATACTTCAAAGCTTTAATTAGAACCAGGGCTYATTTTAAATTTAATACTGTACAAACATGAATAAATRTTTCATTTTTCAGTTAGGACAAAGAGATAAAGAACTGAATTTCCTATAATTTACACTTTCCAAGTAGGAACTTAAGGTGAAATCAAGCCACAAAAATGAGAATTTGTGTGCATATATATATATATATATATATATATATATATACACATATTGCATAATCTTAGCTACTTTCTGATAGGGTATGGTATAAACTAGGAAGTAGTTCATGCAAGGAATTCTCTTTTGTCATCTCCAACTAGCATCCTTTTCCTTTTTGTGCCTCCCCTTTCATAAATAACTGATCCAACTTATGATCAGCTTATGGTCATTGGATCAGATTTGTTCCTGGTATTTCACTGTTGCAAAAGTATGCTTTGCAAAGCAAGATAAATAGTCTGGATAGTCCATCTTCTGGCAGTTGGAACTGAAGGCATCTGTAGGAACTAGGGGTTGCTTGAAACCT